AACGAAACTGTGGAATAGACCTAATTAATTTTTTTTAATATTTCTTTTGTGATATGTATAGAGTTCTTTAGAATTGTTCGACTGGAATATTTATGTGTTATTATGATCTTGTGATATGTATAGAGTTCTTTAGAATTGTTCGACTGGAATATTTATGTGTTATTATGATCTTGTGATATGTATAGAGTTCTTTAGAATTGTTCGACTGGAATATTTATGTGTTATTATGATCTTGTGATATGTATAGAGTTCTTTAGAATTGTTCAACTGGAATATTTATGTGTTATTATGATCTAAAATGCTTTGTTTAACGTGATAGCTTTGCATTTATCTTTTTCTGGCCGGCCCGGCATGGCCAGGTGGATAAGGCGCTCGACTCGCAATCTGAGGGTCGCGGGTTCGAATCCCCGTCCCATCAAACATGCTCGCTCCTTTCAGCCGTGGGAGCGTTATAATGTGACGGTCAATCCCACTATTTGTTGATAAAAAAAAGTAGCCCAAGAGTTGGCGGTGGGTGGTGATGACTAGCTGCCTTCCCTCTAGTCTTACACAGATAACGCAGATAACCCTCGTGTAGCTCTGCGCGAAATTAAAAAACTAACAATTTTTTTGGCCTTACTTAGGAAAACATGTATTTGTTTCGAAATTGAATTTTCACCCCTTTCTGTATCCGAATCATTTTTCTCTTTGTGTTGTAAAATCTGCTTGCTCACATTGATGTATGAGATAACTTATCTCAGCGAAACGTGACGATTTAGCCGTTTTTACGACTTTCACGTTCGACCACAATATTTAAATTGTATATAATTCGGGAAGATTTACCACACACACAAAATGACGTTGTTGTTCTTTCCGTTTCCCATGATTTCCGTTACTACTTTTGATCCGCATCACGTGTTACTTAATTTTTTTTAACTATATAATACCGAGTGATTTTGTGCACGTGGCAAAGAAATTATGAAATTTTATACCCGTTTGCAACACAATTTTCTCTGAAAAGTCTGGAATCATCCCTGTTTCCTCATCGGTTCGTGGAAAACAAAATGAGACAGAGAAGGTAGAGAAAACCCACGAATAGTGAAAACATGTTAGGTTTTCATGTGATTTAACATGTTAGTCAAGAGTTTCAGGGAAACCTAAAACCGAAACTGTGGTTAGGATTTCACGAGCTGCCCGCCTCTCCTTGTGAAAGAAAAGTAACTACATCCATCCATCATAACTATGATTCAGAACCACCTTCCTCCTCAGGTATGATACGTATCAGTACAGGGAAGATGTGAAATGTTGAGTAAGCCAATAAGTTTCATTTTCGGTTTTACAATCAGCAGAAAATATATACGTCATATGCATATAAGAATAACGCATTATGTGGTAAAAACAACAACAAAACACACACACACATGTGGTTTTAGAGTTTCTTTGGCAACACGAAATTCGGTGGGTGGAATGATTCATGTCATTCAAACGAGATTATGTATTTAAATCACGTCAGTATGTTAGCTATCAGCAATAGAATACAATGATGGCAACCGTGAAGTTCGTGTTTTTCGTTATGTTTCTTATCGCTGGCAGCAGCACCACACCAAGACATGAAGCCGACTATTTGGTTATGTTCCAGAAACCAATTGATAATTTTTTTATCATGGTAAGTACTTTTCGCTCATACTTGTTTTTGTGCTCGTTAAAACTTATCTTATTTTGTAGAAGTTGTATTGCATCTAAACAACAACAAAAAAAAGGTAACATATCTAACTAAGGATTTGGTTTCTGAAGAACTCGTGTTTATTTTTTTCTCGTGGTTTTTTGCTCAATTTGGTGAAAGTAATTTGTTCGAGCGTGCAGAACCGCACAATAGCCTATCTGCGATTTGTTCACCGCATGGATCGAACCTTTAATTTTAGCGTTATAAGTCCTCGAGCTTACTGCCGAACCACCGAGGACCATTTTGTTGAACTTAGACAACTGACCTGTCCTCACTATCAGCAGAGGTTAATCCCTGCTGTGGACAGCACACTGAGATAGCTTGTCATACAGCTTTCCGCTACAAATAAAACAATCAAATTAGTAGATTTGGAATATTAAAATCCATAAACGAACAACATTTTATAATACCCAATCGAAATCTTTATATAAACCGACCAACGGTTGTAAAAGTCACTTTACGTGTTTTCACGTCATCTTTGGAAGTGTGAAAAATACTCACTGTGTGCTATATAAGTACAAAAGTCATGGTCGTGTGACTACTAGTTTATAATTAAAAAAAAAAAAAAAACAAGATCATGCCATCTATATATTTTCTGTTTTTCTAACCCTTCATCTTTATTTAAGATCAAGTTGTTTTTGCTGTGTTTCATTATTTCAATGTTAGAAATATTAGATAAACTTAGGTGCAGCTGTTTGTGCTACTTCCTGAGAAAGGCCTTATTGGGCTTTTGGCCCAATTACTTTAATATGACAATCTCAATCAATGGAATATAA